CGATATAGCATCCTAATTGTACCATTTTAGCCATATCTTTATATAATTAGAGTAGTATGCTATTCTGAATTCTGCCAGTGACTGGATCACATCATTTGCAATGCTTGCTGGGAGTAGGCGGACACTGCTGAGCTCTTTTGGCAAGACTCACATTTCCATGGTAACAGTGACTTCTCTGATTGTTGGAGGATTATGGGTAGTGTAGTTCTTTGCCAGAAATTAAGGGGACAGCAGGCTCAAAAATTTAAATTTTGTGCGGACTCTCATACCATTCCAAACCTGCATAAATTCCTTTCTTCTGTGGAATAGAAGACACTGTGAAAAATTACTGTTTTGTGGTATATACAATTAAAGTAATTAGGGTCCAATGTTATTTGAACTTCTTTTGTATTCTGTAGAATAAATAAAGTCATACAGGTTTAGAATGACATGAAGTTGAGTATATGATAGAGTATTGATAGAAAACATTATTTTACAATTAAGCTGAAATCACGTTGACTTGTCTGCCACCATTTTACAGCCTCAAAATTCTAGGTAGGTCTGTCTTGAAAGGTTTATACATTTAATTTCTCTACAGTGTTGCGCTCTATTCGAGTTGTCCTTGTATGCTGACCGCCTTTGGCTGAAAGTGACAGAAGGAATGGTCTTTTCACTTTCACCCTGAACTGTTTGTTGATCTCGCTTGGCCTCTCTCTCTCATGCCCGAGTGACTTTGTGAATGCAGACAGACAGTACACAACAGCATTCCTCCTCATCTAGGCCTTTCCCTCAGCGTATTAGACAGGCAGACAGAGAGAGAGAGACAACTAGGGAGAGACAGACAGTCAGAAGTGGATTATAGTGGACATATTGACAAGCGTGAGCGATGTTACTGGTGGTACGATCAGAGTTATGGGATTTCTGTTGTGTTGAGCCACTCACCACGTGGACTGATCTTTTTCCAGCGCGTCTTAAAGATCCGTGAGCTCACAGACTTGGCTACTGTAAAAAGACTGCGATGTCTCACTCTCACTCAGCCTATAAATAGACCTCCCTCTGTTTATTTAAAAAGGCAGAATGCTATAGACAGAGCCAACTACAGCCCAAACCGACATTGTATGAAAGACAGGAAGAGAGAGAGAGAGAGAGAGAGAGGGAGAGAGAGAGGAAGGGAAGAAACAAGAACCTTACCATAGCCAGAGTGTGAAAGAGAGAGAAAGACTCTTTGTGTGAGTGCATTTAAATGCGTTTAAGAAAATATGCGTATTTGGGCTTGTGTCCATGAGAGGAGGAAAGACTTTGTGTGTGTTTTTGTGAATGTGCAAGAGTGTGTGTTAAAGCTAACCAGTGCATAGGGGAGCTGAGGGATTTCAGGCCCTGGCTCATGAATATTTGAGCATGTGAGAGAGACTGTGCATGGGCGTATGTGTGCATGCAGTTTCCCCATAGCTAATAATAGCACTCTGAGCCATAATGGCGGTTCAATCAGACTCTTAATGGACCAAAGAGCACCTGCAGAAGCAGAAACTGACAATTAGCAACAGAAAAAAGCCATGAAAGCGAGCTGCGATGGCTTTCTGTATGAAAGTTTGAAAGCATGCATGTGTATTTCACCTTATGTATTTTACATGCTATGTGTGATAGGCTGTAGTCACATGTCTCCACTCTGAAAGGGTTTCTATAGATACATCGCTACTTTATCTGTCACATTGATCCATAGAAACACTAAAAGCACATTAAACGATGCAGCATGTGGACAATTAAAGTACCACTATGAGTGCTTGGATGTCTGTTTCTGAACCTCCGATCATGTACACTTCCTTTTTGATAAGGTTCTATGTTTTATTAGTGTCCGTTATTAAATCCACATTATTGTCTGAGGTTTAGGAATCAGGCTTTAAGACGCCAGAACATCTCATCTAATAAACTCAATGTTATTTTTTGTTACGGTCAGTTAGGATTTAGCTTAGTAGCTTGAAAATACTCAGAAAGAAAATGTTCACCGAAAAAAAAAAAAACTCTAGCTTTACAATGCAGGATAATAATTTCTCGATGAGATGTTGTTCATAGCATAAAAATAAGGTTGAAGCAACATAATTTATGGCAATAACACAAACTTTACCCAACATGCTTCCATAAATGTTGACATCCTGAACTAATATGAGTCTGGGCTATAGCCTTCCACTACTCTTTGTTTTATTAACCACAACATACTCAAGAAAACTCTAATACATTCTCTAGAATGTATAATACTCCCTAATACCGATAATATTCTCATCTCTAAAATAGTGGTGCACACAGTTATTTTTGTTTATGCATTAGGACCAGCCAATATGGTGGTCATGTTTGAAATGCAAGCTTTTGTTGCTGTTGCCTGTGAAGAAATGCAAAGTTCACAGTCAGCCACAATTATTTTATTCAGTATGCAAATGTGTCCAATAACAGGGGTTACCCAGACAAAATGAGCACTATTTGGCTGGTCATGTGATCTCAACATGGTGGCCCCCAAGATGGTGCTCCATGTAAAATAGATTAGGCTACTGATGTTACTGGAGTCCTCATTTCAGAGGATATCATTTTCAAGTACTACTCATTTATTTATTTGTAGAACTTATTTCTTTGTGCACTTTTAAGGTCAGAGTCAACAAATCAGATGTAAATGACAACATTACAGTTTATCTTGAAATACATTAAATTGAATGTGAATGTCTTTTTTAAAAAGTTTATTGTACTACAGAAGGTTGAATCAGCAGGGCTGGCAACACACTCTCATTTCATTTTTTGAAATTGTTTTATGTTTTCATGATTTCTTATGATTTCAGTCATATGTCTTCATACGATCTGCTTACACCCCACTGACAGGTTAGGTTTGGGGTTTACAAAACACATTGTGCACGTTGGGTCTGGCTGTGAATTTGAAGGTTGTACTGCTGTTGTCACTACTGTATGAACTGTCATATTGAGAAGTTTTAATAGTCTGGCTATGTGCTCCATGAAAAGGTTTATTAGAATGGTGGACAATGCCCAATTATTGAGCCATACCCTGTGATTTAGAACAGTGAGACAGGCTGAGGAGAAAGAGGGCAGAGAGACAGGCAGTGAGCACAAAGACAAAGAAATGATGATTACATTATTGTGGCTTTATGAACACACATCATGATCCTAAGAGTTCTGTCATCATGATTGCTTAATTCTAAACGCATCAGAGAGCAACATAAGAATGTTTTGTTTGTTTTATTGTGTGTGTCGTTTGTTTGTTTGATCGTGTTATTTGAACTACCATCTGTGTATGCAGAGACATCCATGCGCTGTCACACCCATGGCCTGCTACTGGGCTCTCTTCACCTCCAATTCATCATCAGCAGCAGCTTTTGCTTCTTCTTTTCTTGAATCGCCGGCACAGGTGTCGCCGCTAAAACACAATGCGTAATTATAAAAAGCCCAAATTTACCTGTAGATGCAGTTTCCATGGCAACGCCGCTTCCTTCAAAGGGATGGAATTGTTGCTTGGGCGCGTGCAGATCGTCCCGCATCTCGTCGAAACGGGGCCCTGCGCTCCCAAACATCCCGTTCTTCTCCTCCTCCTCCTCGAACCATTTCCCATCCAAACCCGGCCCCTCGCTCGAATTGGCGGACATGCTTGCAGTAATCGCACGTAGAGAGTTTGTTCGGAAGCGAGAACGATTGTGTGAGATCGCAGAAGAAATTCAAAGATGTGACGCTTAATATGGCCGATCCTGACCGATGCTTCCCGTCTCGCAGCAGCGGAGCCAGTGGGCTTGATGTGTTTGGTTCAGTGTCTCGGAGCTGACGTCACTGTGTCTGTACGGCTCGCGGTTGGCACGGATTTAGGACGAAGAGCGACATTCCGGTTAGAGGACGGTCCGTGTTCCACGGGCGTGGTTCTAGCTACCTCACAGTACACATAATACGCACGCTATATTTAAGCTTTTTTTTAAAAATACACTTAAGCGCAAAAATACATTCAGCGATGAATGAAACCGTCTGATTCTGACTTTTTCCTGATTATTGCTGACAGAAATGACTGAATTCGCAGGACTTGTTCCCAAGAATAGTGTTCTTAAATATTTTGATTAGCCAGTAGTAAAAAAAAAAAGTTAATTTTATATTGTTTATGAATTATTTTAATATTTTATATTTTGAATGAGCTGTTTGTCAATATTTATCCTCTACCCAGTTTATTACTACTACCCAGTTTATTTGTGCTGAAATGGGATAAAATTGGTTAAATTTTGATTTATTTTATTTTATTTCTTCAGAATGATTCGTTTCTTTTACTTCTAAATGCTCCACCCGTACCATTGGCTATGTTGTTGTGTTCTGAGGGTTTGGGGTGAGAGCATAGACTGTATAAAAACAGGGTGAGAGAGATGTTTTTGTCTTCTCTGTTTTAATTTTCAATTTAATTTCGGTTGGGTAACGTTAGGCTATTACTATTAGGATGCTGTTTAGTTTCCTTTTTTTAATTATATGCAAATGTAAATTTTTATTTTGCATAAAAAATGTAAATGTGTAATTTGAAATGATTTTATTTTGTGAAATAAGGATTTAATTGTTTTCAAATAAAAGTATTTAAACACGGAGTAATTCTAAAGTCACCATGCTACGAGAAGCAAAATTCCAAAAATGCACATTGCCCTGAAACACTTTCACATTTGATGTAGTTTTACAGTCAAATTTGTGAACGGGTGGATGATCCGGTGTTTTAGCACCATCTGCTGGCGGACAACAACACATTCCAACAGGGCTTCCTTAGCACCGGCGAGCCACGCTTCCTTAGCAACGGCCTGATGTAAACATTGCAGTAAGCAAAATAAAAAGGAAAATTACTACAAGTGCGGCTCGATAATGGAGGGTTGATATGTTTTGACTGTTGAAAGGTATATTTACACTTAACAGGCATCATGCAGCTGTTGAACTTTATGGTGGAGAGAAGGTAAACTGATCTGTTGTAGTTGTAGTGCTAAATCATGGAATGTGAAGGAATTTGACTTGGTCACCTCACCTGCTGGGCTCTGACTATACAGTGGGACATACACAAACAGGTGAGGAATTTCTAGTGCAGATACGCATTAGTAAAAATTAGGGATGTCTATTTTTGTGAGGTAAATTTTTATATCTAATACACTAATATACAAGTATATGTAAAAGGTGTTTGCAGCATTGCAGCAATTTGAATGTTTTGTCGTTGTTGTTAAGTATTAACTAAGATAGAAATGTATTAACATTTTATTGTAATGTTTAGTAACTACAGTTGTAGTATTTAGTAAAGAATTAGTGTCTACGTTTTCAGTTCTTTACATTTGTTGAATGTCCATAAGCCTTTGAAAAATACTGTTTTTAAAGGGATCATGACACAGAATGAAAAGCAGAAACTAACTGGAGACGAAGAAATTATAAAAGAGCTGGTGAGTTTCCTTTTTTTTCCCTCAACTAAATGAATTTAATGTGCAATTTGCTCTTGTGGTGTGGTTTTCTAATCTAAGCCACATGTGCTGAAGAATCTTTGGTTTGTATGTCCTCAGTGTGTGTCTAATGGACTCTGCTATGAGAAGGTGTGTCAGGAGGGGAGTGGTGAAATGGTTCTGGAGATGTTTTTCTCTGGGTTCCCGCACATGGTGGGTCTCTCTCTTTTCCCTAGATTGTCCAGTCTCACTATTGTAGGCCAGAGCATCAGCTCAATCCAGGGTCTGGAGTACTGCCCACTCCTCAAAGAATTATGGGTAGTGGAGTGCAAACTGAATGTAAGTTACTGAAAACATTTGGAATGTTTCTAGTTTATTTGTCTGAAAATGTTTTGTGGATTGGATTTCAGTGGGATTACAATATGTTTGTTTGGGGGGGCAAACTATATTTCTGCTATTTTGCCAAGGTTGTTCATTTTATTTTCTTTGACTGATTTACTCTAATTAAGATGAAAATTACAAATGAATCTAGTTGATTTTGATCTGTCTGGTATTGTTTGTGTTTTGTAGGAAATCTCTGGCCTACATAACTGTGTGCATTTGCAGAAATTATTTCTGTACAACAACAACATCCAGCAGATTACAAATCTAGAGATGTTGGTCAACCTTCACGTCCTGTGGCTTAATAAGAACGAGATCTCTGACATACAGGTAGCCTATGTTTATGAGATACTGAGATACTGTAAATGAAATTTCAAAGTATATTATATTTGTGTCTATATACAAATATAAGCTGTTTTACACCTTGTTTTACAGGGATTGAATTCACTTGTAAACCTTAAAGAGTTGAATCTTGCTGATAATGCTGTTGAGACTCTTGGTAGGTTCACTGTAAAACACCACATTTTTGCAATTTTAGCATTTAATTTTTGTACTATAATATATAGTTTTTGTACTATAATATATAGACATTTAAAATATGTTACCGGATACACTAATATTTAGCATGTGTATTTCTAAGGTCATTGTCTGGATTCCAACATCAATCTCCACAATCTAAACCTCTCAGGGAACAAAATCAGTTCCTTCAAGGTATGAGATATATAGCATTATTTGACCTGCTATTTTAAAAGCTTATCATAGTAGAGCAATTTCGTTTCATGAATAAGGCATCAATCGTGTTGAATTGAATTTAACAGTTCAATTCAATTCTAATTGAATTACACGCAGCCCTACTATTACTGCTCATTCTTAATTCAGTTTGTAATACCTTAGCTTAAATGTACAGTCATGTTTACTGTTGTTAAGTGAAATTTCCTGGGCAAACGGGATTGCACACACACCAGATTTATGTAGTTACTTAATACAAAAATACATTAAAAAAAATAAATAGCTTCAAATTGCTTTAAATAATAATTGCTTCAAAATTCATGTTTTCATTATGAGTGTGTGTAATTTACATTTTAGAGTAAAATGTCCAACTATCGTTGATTCATATTTACTAATGACATTGTTTTACTTACAAATTGGAAACCTTGTTATTAAAACCCATAGGGAAATAGTGGGGGAACCAATGACAAATTAGTCTTCTGGGTTTTGATGTCATGACTGCAGCACTCTTTAGACAATGGAATTTTTTTGCCTCCAAAATTTCGCTAGTGTGACCGTAACTTAAGTGTTAAACTTTGAAGCATAGCTACGTTTTTGCTTCGCACATGGATGACACCTAAAATCATGTTTTCTCTTATTAGATTGTTGATTGCCTTTTGTGTAGAGCCCATTTTGTTTGTTTGATTGTGTCCAAGATTACCAGGTAATAATTTCCTTCTGGCCTTCACACCATTATTACTGCAGGCCTGTATCTACATGCCATTATTGCGTCCTCCCTCTCCTGCTCACTATAGATCTGATTACTGTTATTTCTGTGCATGCTCTGTACTTTCCCAACTCCCCCAGAGAGACCTGATCATTTCAGGAATTGCACGATTCAAGTTTTTGCTTTTCAGTTGTTATCATTATCATAATGTGGCATCTCTGATCTCTGATGCATTTCCTATGTCCTGATGTTGCAAAAATAACAAAATATTAAAATCAAAATATCAACAACAAGCAACATTTATAAACGAATATACCATAAATATGGGCAATAGTAATAGTGATGCTTGACCATGAAACATCAATATAAAAATCATTGCAGAATGTTAGGTTGTTGTTGTTTTTTTTGTTATTTGCACAAAATGATTTCATGTTCATGAATAGTCCTGATTTCTGAAAGAAGAAGAAAAGTATGTAAAATCTGTACCATATAGGAATTGACCCATCTGGCTCGGCTGCCCCGTCTACGGCACCTGAGTCTGAAGGACCCTCAATCCATTCCAAACCCGCTGTGTCTGCTCTATAATTACTACATACACGTCTTATATCACATGCCACACCTGCAGCGCTTGGACACATATGACATATCCAGCAAACATCTCAAAGACACTGCAGAGGTGAGAGAATCTCTATTTCATGCATCTGAGAGTGCATCTTTTGTGTTTGAGAATGATGAGAATGTGTGGTTGTGCATCAGTCCACAGTGCTGAAGAAAATGATGTATTACACCACGCGGGTACGTTGTGCACAAAGACAGTTTGATGAACTCAAAGCCAAGCTCAGGCAGCAGCAGAAAGACCAGATACAACTTCCAGAGGAGAGAATACGTGTGCTAACACACATGCTGAGAAATGTGAGTATATACAGTTTGTATACAGGTTTTTTTTTTTCTGCGCCACAATGGTGGTATATTTAGAGTATCACTTTTTTTCTAAATCCATTCTTAACACATTTAGTAGGAATGCAGCCATTTAAATTTTCTAATACTGATAATCTTAAAATTATTTTAAGACTGATAAATTACTGACTTTGAAATAATGTAAAATTATATACACACATATACACAGTATATATATGTGTGTGTGTGTGTGTGTGTGTGTGAATTAACTGTGTTATAATATACTATATAATATATTACATATACTAAAAATATTTTTATAAAATACAAATAAAACAATGTAAACTAAAACCAATATGTTTATATGTGAAGTGAATTTAGGCATCACAGCATTATAATGTACAGTATGAAAATGAAATTATATATATATGTATATATATATATATATATACCATTATTGTTTATTATTTTTAAATTATTATAATTAATATAGTAATATTTAATTAAGATTTTTAAAAGATATTATTAAATTAAGTCATCCTCAAATTTTTATCAGATTATTCCATATTCAACTTCTGGGGACAAATTTGACAAATTAGTCCCCAGAACACATTTGTGTTACAAACACATTCACCCTCTGTGAGCAGATGGAGTGTGAGCTGTCCCATGTACAGTCTGTTGGTAAGAAGTCAGGAGAACCTGAAGACTTGACCTCTGACTTTCGTAATAACCACAGCCATGAGCAGAGACTGCAGCACAAACTGGATGCTCTTAAAGACCGACTGAGGTTCTGGGAGCAGCGCCTGGAGGAGTGAGTGTGCATTTTTATATACGTAAACCTGTGTGCATGATTATTGTCCGGTCTTGCATATGTGTGTTTTTTGTTTTTTTTGTCTCAGGGTAGAAGCATGTCACCAGCAAAATGTGGCTTTGGCCTCAGATAGAAGGGATATGATGGTGCACTTTCTGCTATTGGAGCTGGAAACCATGGGGAACATTCACTTTGAGGAGGGAAACACCGGCGAACCTTGGTACCACATGTATGCATGCAAGATCCTTCGTACAGATACACAACATGCAGGATTTCTGATCTATACTGTTTTCTGCTTGCTCTCTCAGGTTCACATCATGTTACGATCTCTTGCTGTCCCGTTTCTGTGCATGGGATTATAAACCTCACAACATCTCTGGCATTAAGATCAATCGAATAATCCGTATCCATAACCGAGCTCTGCGGCAACGCTTCCAGGACAAAGTACACTCTCTGCTCTGCAGACAGGAACCTTCACCCTTCTCACAGTGAGTCAGTCACACACTTGTTGTGTCTCACAGAGCCAGACTTTTAAATATATATACTTTGCATCTTATTTTGGCCAGAAAAATGCACTTAGATAGGAAGAGGCAGTCTGACTTACATGCAAAACATATGGTCAGTTTCTTTTTGTTTTTACTCATTGTTTATAGACAGATAAATCTGGTATTAATACCAGGAAAATATACCACACAGATTATAAATACAGATTATTACAGATAAATACAGATTATTGTAAACATGATTTTTGTCCCATGCATCAGGTATCAGTATCACGTTCATTACATGCCATTTATTACTAGAGAGACTCTGACTGATTAAAAAAATAGAGGCCGTTTGATAGTCTTTCTTTTATATTCATGAATCAAAAATCCATATTCATAGTTCTTATCAATTTTTAAGATCTTGAGATATGATTCTGACAGCACAGTGTCTGTGGAAGAGAGTGTCTGTATATGCAGTTTTACTATTTGTGTATGTGTGTGTGTGACAGGAACTATAAACGCTGCATGGAGTATCTGTTCTACGTGCCTGATCCAGAACATTCCTGTGAAAGTGATGAGATACTTCCAATCCTAGAAAATGGTTTTAAAACTGCTGATGCATATAAGGTACAAAACCCATCAAAGCCTGGTGAGGACTAGTTATGAATTTCTGTTGTTTTTAATGGACCCATCATCTTGTACATGGATGTGTGTTTCTTGCCTTCAGGCATTAGGCAGAGAGAGAGCCATCCCCCTCTCTAACAGTGTGAGTGTGTCTGATCAACGGCGAATGACATTTATGCAGAAGAAGAGTTGCTCGACATCAGGAAGTAGCCCTGTAGATATTCTTCCTTTCAGACATGGTCTGTATTCACTCAGAGCCTTTAATTTAAATTAATTTGAATGTACTGTCAGTCATTTCTACACTACTACTGGCTCCAAACATTAATACAAAAATAAAAGTTTGGGGTCAGTTTTTTTTTAACAATTTTTAAAAAGATGTCTTTTGTTGCTCAAAATATAGTATGATCAAAAATACAGTAAAAATGTAATGTAAAATAATATTACAATTTAAAATATACTGCTTTCTATTCCTGTGATGGCAAAGCTGAATTTTCAGCAGCCATTACTCCAGTCTTCAGTACCACATGATCCTCTTAATATGCTGATTTGATGCTCAAGAAACATTTTTTACATTTATCAGTGTTGAAAATGGTTGTGCTGCTAAATATTTTCGTGGAAACCATGATACATTTATTAGGATTCTTATATGAATAGGAAGCACAAAATAACGGCATTTTTTTGATAATTTCCTCTCTAAAAAAAGTGTTTGCTTTTGTGCATTTTTGTATGTTTGTAGGTCAGTTGATCATTTCTAAAGTGTTCCTGGGCCGCAGTGCTGCAGTGAAGGAGGGTCTCCCAATAGACTGTGATCATTACCCTAAAGCAAACTCTGTCTACCTCAGTACCTGCTCTAAAGAGCAAAAGCACACAGCACAAACAGCCCTTGGTGAGTTAGAGTGTGTGAACCCATCAGAGAAAAATGTCTTCAGAGCAGTGGTGATCAAAGCAGTAATGTGTGAGTGCATGTGTGTTTTTGTTCATCAGACATGCTGTGTCTCTCCAGCCTGCCGGACAGCTGTGACTGTAAACAGCAGCAGAAACTGTGGTACATGTTTGACAATGAAATGGTGCTCCCAGAGTACCTTGTAGACTTTGAATATGTAACACAGGTATATGTGTTTAACAGTATATACCCTCACACATTTACACCGTCCTCTTAATCTCATATCAGAAAATAGTAATGAGTAATTAAATCATCTTCATCTTATGACATCTTCCTCTAGGACACATCTCAGCACTCTCCAGACTCCCCGTCCAGTTCTCATGCATCCCCGGCTGATGCCCCATCTGTGTCCCGAGCTGAGCTGAACCTGGATGAGGAGGCATTAAATATGGAACCCATCCTGAAACCTCACCCCAAGCTGCTCAGTCTAGATGAGAAATCCACACTGACATTGGCCAGAGCAAACGTCCTCAGTCAGATCACAGTGAGACCTACAATACTTAACATACACAAACCTGTATCTCTGTGATCATTTTATTGACTTATTTCCTGTCATACAGGTGCTGAATCTACATGGCAACAGTCTGAATAAACTACCTGAGATTTCTCGACTCACAGCTCTAAAGCAACTGACCCTCAGCTTCAACGAGTTCACTCATCTGGACGATATTTCACATATGGTGATGAGATCATTCTATTCATTCATAACCTTCTTCTAAACATGACAGTATCACAAACATTTAAAGGCAGCATAATTGTCAGAAGTGAAAACTGACCCTATATACTCTTTTAATACAAATTATTGGTCTTCATTCACTCTGAAAGGTACAGTATTTTTGGTCTATGTCACTAAGTACGTTTATTTTTAACCACCTGTCATAAAAAAAGCACTTTTAAAGGGGTCATATGATGCGATTTCAAGTTTTCCTTTCTCTTTGGAGTGTTACAAGCTGTTAGTGAATAGATAAGATCCCTAAAGTTGCAAAGACTAAAGTCTCAAACCCAAAGAGATATTCTTTATAAAAGTTAAGACTCGTCCACACCCTCCTAAAACGCCTCGTTTAAACACGCCCCCACATGTCTACGTCACGATGTGGGAAGATTTGCATAACACCGCCCAAATGTATACGCAAAGAAAGAAAGCGTAACTTTGATTCTCGCTGTAGTATTGTTGCCGCTGCCGCTATGTCGTGGAGACGCTGTGTGTTTTGCTGTGAAAGTGAAACTACTTTGTTTGGTCTTCCAAAAGAGGACACAACTAGAAATCAGTGGTTAAGTTGTATTTACAACACTGTTCCAGAACAGTTCAAACAAAATATTCAGATGTGATGTCATATGACCCCTTTAATGATGTAACCAATTAAATGAAGTCCTGTCATTGAATATGAATTTATGACTTGTGACTGTCTTTGTCGCTCATTGTTTCTCTGTCTTTCAATCCTTTAGCCAAACCTGGAGTACCTGGATGTTAGTTTTAACCATATTTCCTCTCTGGAGGGTTTGCGTGGACTTGGTCAACTCATAGAACTGGATCTTCGCTGGAATCAGCTGACTCGAATCAGGGATGACATGAATGTTTTGCGTAAACACGCCCCTGCCCTGCTCCGTCTGGACACACGGCACAATCCTTGGCACAGGGTAAAAGTTACCTTACATGAATGAGTTTCATATTAGACATTAGAAAATGTGAAGCATCATGACAAATGAAGATTGAGCAAGGTCGTATATACACTTCTGTTCAAAAGTTCGGAGTCAGTAAGATTAAAATAAAGAATGCAACAAGGATGCAATAAATTGTTTAAAAGTGACAGTACAGACAATTATAAAGTGAGAGTACAGACAATTATAATGTTACAAAGATTTCAATTTAAAATAAATGCTGTTCTTTTGAACTTTCTTTTCACCAAAGAATCTTGAAAAAATGTATCATGATTTCCACAAAAATATATTAAGCAGCACAACCATTGTCAACATTGATAATAATAAGAAATGTTGAGCACCAAATCAGCATATTAGAATTATTTCTGAAAGTGACACTGAAGACTGGAGTAATTGCTGATGAAAATTCAGCTTTGCCATCACATGAATAAATTTCATTTTAAAATATATAAAATAAAATTGTTTTCAAATAGAAAACAATTATTTTAAATTGTAAAAATATTTCACAATATTACTGTTTTTATATATTTTTAACAAATAAATGCAGCTTTGGTGAACATAAGAGGCTTCTTTCTAGGGTTGCCACCCGTCCCTTAAAATACAGAATCGTCCCGTTTTTAAAGGTAAAATGATGCGTCCCGTATCAAATCAATACGGGACGCGATTTGTCCCGTATTTTACAAATGCCGACACATAGTTGAATCAACAAATAAGTATTTTGCATTGTTTATAATACTAATAGCAATTATAAGGAAATCAATTTCATACGAAGTATTAGAGAAGCTCATTTGCGCGATTGCATTTTGGCGTCTTTGTTTTCATAGTGACGGAGTCTCCAGAACGCGCGCCGTTAAAGCCCTTTCACGCGAGCGCAGCATGCGCTAAACCTGCGCGGTTTAAAACATCTGGGAGCTCACATCTGGCTGCCCTTTGAACACAAGACTCTCCAGATGTAGGGCTGAATGGGAAAATTATCAGTAGGTCTGTCCTGCAACTAATGATGAACGCGCAGTTTGCAGAGAATCATTCAGTTGCTCACGGTGGACTGTCTGACTTAAAGGGATAGTTCACCCAAAAAATGAAAATGTTGTCATTGTTTACAAACCCACAAGTTGTTTCAAACCTTAATAATTTCTTTCTTCTGTTGAACATAAAATAAGATACTTTGAAGAATGTGGGTAACCAAAGAGTTTCTGGTCCCCAATGACTCTGATCGCATTTTATTTTTATTTTTTTAAGTCACTGAGGACCAGAAGCTGTTTGGTTACCCACATTCTTCAAAGTATCTTCTTTTGTGTTCAACAGAAGAAAGAACTT